AGGAAAGAGCTGGAGAACCGTGTTAGACATGTTTGAGATGCCTAATTAGGCGTCCAGTAGTGACATCAAACAAGCAGATGGATATATGGGCCAGAGTTTAGGACAAGTTCTGATGTGGACTGTGTTTTCATCTCCAGCAAGCCACATGGCTGCCAGGGGGCAGGGCAATCCAGGCAGAGATACAGCCAGTGAAGAGGTCTGGAGGAGGAGCACAAGGCCCACTTGGCTAGAGTGGTATGCAGGAGAGAGTCCATTTCATTATGTGAGTTAAAGTTACCTTGGGCAAAGCAATCAGCAGTGATTAGCACACAGCAGGTATTCAATGATCAAGGTTCTTTTCCTTCTCCTTCCCTGCCTGGCCCAGTCTCTACCTCCTGTTCATCTGAGACTTACTTCCTCAGCTCAGATCAATGTACTAAACATCTGTTTCTTCAAGGTACTACAGGAGCCTGGAAAATGAGAGAGACCAAGCTGGCTTGGGCTCTTGACACTTGGATGGTTCTTTAGCCGTGCCAACTTCAGGTCTTCCCCAGTACTACTCATTTTGACTCGTTTCAATATTCTAGTGAAAGGGCAAGAAAAATCATAACATTTCCCAAGACTAGATATAAATTTGAATTAATAAAGAAAGCTGGTTAGAGTTTGAACTTCAAACCCTTCCATGATGTTTTTGTTTAAAAATAAAGCAGACTCAAAATAGTAACTTCCATTTTCACGTGACTAACAAATAGCAATTGTGGATTTTAGATCTTGGTACACTACATTCCTCCTGGAAATAGATCGGAATAAGTCAAATATCAGGAGTTCTGAGAAACAAAGGTCTCTGATTTGGGCTCCAGTCTCACTTGACAGATTATGGGGGGAAAAAGTTACACTTAAAACTCTTCATTCTGGGGTGGTAAGGAAACGTAGGCAGTGTTCTGGGTCCAGAGGTAGAAGGAAAACTACACGATATTTCACAAAATGCTCAAGACAGTCTCTGTGGTGTGTAGAAACAGGCAAATGTTTACTTAAAACTTGCAGTTCAGTAAGGAAGGAAATCTAAGACAGCTTTTTAAAAAGGGAAAAGGAGGCCAGGTGCGAAGGCTCATGCCTGTAATCCCAGCACTTTGGGAGGCTGAGACAGGCGGATCACCTGAGGTCAGGAGTTTGAGATCAGCCTGACCAACATGGAGAAACCCTGTCTCTACTAAAAATCACAAAACTAGTTGGGCATGGTGGCACATGCCTGTAATACTAGCTACTTGGGAGGCTGGGACAGGAGAAGCACTTGAACCTGAGACAAGAGCGAAACTCCATCTCAAAAAAAAAATATTAGCTGGGCTTCGTGGTGGGCGCTTGTAATCCCAGCTGCTCAGGAGGCTAGGGCAGGAGAACTGCTTGAACCTGGGAGGCAGAGGTTGCAGTGAGCTGAGATCGCGCCGTTGCACTCCAACCCAGGCAACAAAGCGAGACTGTCCCCAAAATAAAAAAAAAATAAAAAATAAAAAAGGCAAAAGGACAGTGACCTGTGTCTACCCCAAGAGCCAGCTAGAACAGCTTGCCTGGTGGTAGAACAATAGTCTTGCAGGCAATGGCAGGCAAAATTCCTCTAGGCAGCTGTAAAACACTGGACCGACCGCTAAAGCTCCTATTACTCTCTAGGCTTGGGACCCAGGCAGCCGTAAATCATGACAACCATCAGTGCGCTGTGGAGTGAGATCATCTGCAGGGATTCCTTAATGAAACGTGATGACTTCTCTGGCACTCCAGCAATTGGGGTGTGCTGAGGACACCACATTTTTCTCAGGAGGTCAGTTATCAGCTTTTCCACATGATCTCCTAAACTAGCAAACAAAACAGCCCAGGTGGCACCATGACACCGACCTCAGGACTGTGCTGAGCTAGCTAGATAGCTTGCTTACTTTTTCTTGTTAAGTTCTGGTTAAAATGCACTATACCAACTGCTTATTAAAGTCTTACTGTGCATCAAGCAGTTGTAGGCACCAAGGAAACAAAAACAGACAGGATTCTGTTGTTTGCATGAATTCTGCTCCTGAATTCACAGTCCAATAAGTAAATGCGTCTGAGTCAAAATCAGACTTCCTTTTAAAAACAAATATGGCCAGCCAGGTGTGCTGGCTCACGCCTGTAAACCCAACACTTTGGGGGGCCGAGGCAGGTAGATCACATGAGGTCAGAAGTTCAAGAACAGCCTGGCCAACATGGTGATACCCCGTCTCTACTAAGAATACAAAAAAATTAGCTGGGCGTGGTAGTGCATGCCTGTAACCACAGCTACTCGGGAGGCTGAGGCAGGAGGATTGCTTGAATCCAGGAGGCAGAGGTTGCAGTGAGCTGAGATTGTGCCACTGCACTCCAGCCCAGGTGACATAGTGAGACTCTGTCTCAAAAAAAAAAAAAAAAAAAAAAGACTGTGGCCCTTCTTCGTGCTCTCAGGGCTGGAGATGTGTGGAGGAGCGTGTCCACAAACAAGGCCTAATGGCACGTGTGGATAACCCGATGGAGTTGGCCCCAGGATGTGCTTCCCCCTTTATATTCATGTAGGAAGAACTGCTGTAATTTATACAGTTTATATTGTCCCATTAAATTCTAACAGTGTTATGGAATTTTTTGGTGAGAATCACTCTCCCCATTTCAGTTGACACTAAGAAAGATCAAGAGACTTGCCAAGCCCACCAAGTTAGTTCATAGCAGCATTGAGATTATAAACCAAGTTCTCTGATTCTCATCCCAAAGAAATAGAGAACTTGGTTTATAATCTTACTGCTCTGCAAGACCTCCCCTGGTGACAGATGGTTCACCTACCTGTCCTTGAACTGCTTCTGTCTGCGCTCAATTTTTCTTACCCATACCTCCAGCCTGCCTTTGCCTCAAACTTCCCATCTCCATGAAGGTCAATCTTCTGCTTTTCCTAAGCCAATGGTTGTAAGTCTGGTCTCCAGACCTGCAGCATCAGACTCACCTGTGAACTTGTTAGAAACACAGATTCTTAGGCCTCACTCCAGATCACTCAATGAGAAATTCTGAGAGTGGGGTATAGCAATCCGAGTTTTCATGAGTTTTCCAGGGATTCTGCTGTATGCTAAAGCTAGAGAACCCCCTAAACTAAGCTAAAAAGCTAGGTACCTCTACAGTCCCTGTGTGGCCCCACCATGATCACCGGGCCCCACAGACACAAACTCCGTGACTAGAGAAGCCATTTGTCTGGCACCATGCAGCAGTGAAAATATGCAGTCACCTCCACTAAAATTTTTCAGGGCCAGCTTAGGCAAAAGCTTGAAGCAGGAGGTAACAGGCCTCCCCTTTGTGGTCTACCCTTCATAATGATGGCCCCTTTTCCTCAATCAGTGCAACGGCATTTAATTCAACCCCTCCCACCTCATCAGACCCAGCTCTTGACTCTTAGATTAGAAGCCCACCACAATGGGAGTGGATGTGTTGATACATAACCCTCTTCCCTAACCATGAAATGTAATGAAAGGCTCCAAGCTTTGTTCAAGAGGGTAGATAAGGGGTACCTCATCTAAAGTAAATGCTAACAATAAAACGTGAACCATGCAATTGTGCTGCTTTCTACAAATTACAGAACGCTTCCATAACTCTCATAAGGATCACAAAAGCTACTTTTGAAACAGACACTAGAACCCAGGACTCCTGATTCATTCCCCTAGGGGCCTATCTACTGTAACATGCCAGACATTATATAAATTCTTGTTAGTCATCTAATGGGGCTATTATAAAAGTTCTGGTCACTCTGTAAGGGCAGGGGTCCACGTCACCAGAGCACACTGCCACATAGAAAGAATTTCTTTGTTGCAAACCCAGGCCATTAGAATAATGCAGAGACACATGGTTAAACAAAGGATAACTTCCTGAATCCAAAGCATCAAGTTTACTGAAAAGGGCAGGGGACAACCTTTATGGTCTGACTTTTCTTCGTGGAGTTCTAACCATCCTCTTATCTACTCCCTTGACTGGCTAACAAGTCTGTAGTCTTCTCTCAGAAGAATGAAAGGTGGTTATTCTCTTATTGTTTTAATGTCTATTGCAGCAACATTTGGAGGAACAAAAAAGGCCCGCAGAGGTAGAACTGAGGTTCCCGCACACTCACTCTTTGCCCATCAATATGGAATTTATGTTGAGTTCTAAAATGCACAAAAATTGCATTTGAAAAATGAGAAGCTTTCAGAGGTCGGAAGTGCGCGCGCACACACACACTCTTCCATATGTTCCAGAGAGGTGGAAATATGCACAAGAAGAATCTGATGACCCTCCCATTCTGCCTCCTTTATTTTCATTTCTTAGAAACTCTTTCTATTGGAACATCCCTTCCCATATTTATTTATATCCAGGGATAGATTCCTGGAGAAGAGAGAGGGAGTAAGATTCACAAAAGATCTAATTTGGAGCACTAATAATTACAGCAGCTGAAAAGCATACGAAAGCAAAGAGCCCTGTTAACAAAACACTATCAGGGCACTTCCCAGAAAACAGCCCAGCGATGAGATTACTACTAAAAATAATGAAGACAAGAAGAGCCAAAACCAAATCTCAACTATGCAGACAGACTTGCAGAATTTTTCACCTTCACTGCTACAATGAGCATTTTTTAAAAAGAGCAGTAGACTGCATGAGTTGACAAAGGAAGAAAAACAAAAGATAGCAAGAGACTCATTCTGGACACCCAGTTTCTATTCTGTATTCATAACTCTACACCAGCAACAGCAGCTCAAATAAGGCACAAGGTGGGGTCCTGGACAAATTCACACATGATCAGACCAATTATCCACGCTGCACTTCTGCACACAGTAAACACCCCTGACCTGCACCACCTCTGCACCTCCCACCCCCATGACCGGGATAAACCCCACCATACGCTGAAAAGAACCCTGCTTTTTTTGTGAGAACCAGCCAGAGCCTAAGCTGTCATTACACAGCAAAAACCTAGCGAGAACAAAAAGCCAGCAGCAGACTGATGTAGAAAGCCCAGAACATACCTGAATTCTTCAAATGCAAACATGACCTAGTAAAAGCCAATTTCCTTAGATTGTGTGGTAGTCTTTTTGGTATGGAGGACAACCATTTAGTTAGTCAGATGGTGCAAAGTGCAGAAAAAAGAGGCGGGGTTTCCACACCCCCCAATATTCTGAAGTAAAAGGCTTTCTGCAGACAGGGGCCTGCAGCCTCCAGCTCCGCCAGCTGCTGACAAGCAGCAGCTAACAGGGGAGGCAGCTAGAAAACCATGTGATCATTCCAGCAAGTCTGATTAATGCAGTGTATGCTTAGGCTCCAGGCTGGGAACTGGATTAGTCTAGAGAAAGAAGTCGAACCCAGGGCATGCCTGGGATCCTGGGTAAAGCATGTAACACAACCCGCCCCCCACCAGAACTGTGCAGGTTGGGGAGAGAGGAGAGAAGGTTGAAAGGAATGTGATTGCAACCTGTTCCGCTGTGATCTGCCTAATTACCTCACCTTCCTGTGGCTGCTGCTGCTGTAAGATCAGGCATGACCAACATTATACGTGAACGTAAGTACTGAAAAATTCTGCAGAATTCTGTATTTTACCATTCCATTATCAAACATTATTTTAGCACAAATGCATAATCTGTTTCAGAATCACAAAAGTCGCATTTTATGTCCACCACTTTACCATGACCAGCGTGACTTTACATGTCACTCCTTATTACTGATCTAATTTGATTATTCATTTATCGAGTATATAATATGTACCAGGTTCTCACCAATTCCTTGAAGTACAAAAATTGCTATAATCATTTCAGAAGAGAAGAAAAAGGAAACGAGATGCCAGCCCCCAAAAGAGAAATGTTTATCAGGCTGGCAAGATTTGGCACATGAGCTGAGGCTGTATTCTGAAACTTGCCATGAAGGAAAATCTTCAGCATTCAGGTTGCAACTCTTTGTGAAATAAGCAAGACAGATCTCAAATAAAAACTTGTGAGTCACTCTTGACTTTTTCTCTCTCCCTTGCACCACCGTGTCATCAGTCACTAACTATAATCGACCTGGAAAAGGTGGCCTGAACCTGCCCCTTTCCCCTCACCCAGCCACGCAGCCTGGGTATGCCCTCAGGGTTCCTCACTCAGGCTTTGGCCTTAGGAAAATTGCCCTGGTTGATTTTTAGAGAAGGGGTGGAAGAAGGAAGACCAGTTAGTAATTCTGATTTTGATGCCCCTGTTTAACCCTGCATTATAATTCCTCACAGCTCAAGAAATAAAGCTTTTTAAGCCTCATCATGACATACAAAGTCTTATTTCTCCAATTCTTTCTTCCACTAAAACTCTTCACAAACCCTCAAATTCAGTCAGACATTCACAGTTCCCAAAATCTGTCAGGATCTCCTTTCTCGGGCCCATGGACCAGCTGGATAAGGTTCTTCGCTGCTCCCTAATGTGAGCTGCTGCCCATGTGCTGCTCCCTCACTGCTCCCTCTCCAAGGGGCTGAGATTCCCACAGGGCGGTTCACTGCTCTCTCTCCTTGGCTGCCGCCATCTGCATGGCGTCTGACATTCTGTTTGCCTCTCCTGCAAATCTCAGAGTTCCTTGAGGACAGGAATGTGTGAAGTTAATTTCTGTATTCCCAATGCCTGGCACAGCACTTGACAAAAAGGAATTATTCACATAAGATTTGTGGAATGAACCTCTTTTGCCTCAGCTTTTATTAGGGAGAAGAGTGATCCAGTACATGCATTCGCACAAAGGTACTCTGGGACAAATGTATCACTCTTCATACAGTTATCTCTGTCTCAAAGAGAAGCAAGAGAGTCCAGGTCTTGACTCAAAGAAATGCAGTGACAAAGACCAAATGAGGTAGACTGATGAGTGAGGGAGGTGTCTGGGGGAATCCTGTGGTCCCTCAAACCACACAGCAATCACCTAAGCTGATCTGAAATGTCTTCTGCAGTATTCCCGACCAGCCTCTGCCTGAGACCTTCTGGTGATGGCAGCTTCTTGGCAGAATCGTAACAGCAAACACAAAATATTCAAGTCAATAAATAACTCAGTTTTAAGTCCCAGATCTGCCACTTACTCTGTGATCATTAACAAGCTACTTAAATTCCCTGGGCCTTGGATTTACCCTATATAAAACCAGAATAATATTGATACTGCCTGTGCCTCTCTCATAGGAGTGCTGCAAGAAGCCAATAAAGTAGGAGTTGGAAAGTTCTCTATCAAATATATTAAGTTATATAAATATCTTCATCAGCTTTATGATCTCACAAGATGATCTCTTACTGGACAGCTCTGATGACTGGGTGGTTCTTCCTCATGAAGAGACTACTACTCCTTGGAAGTATTCTGTCTGCTCAACGGGTGGCTCATTTAATTTTGTGAAGACCTCTAGACTCTCTGCCTGCTTTCCACCAGTGACTCAAGACTCTCCTTTTGCAGGTATAACCAGCACCTTTCAGGGCAATTCATAAGGTCCTGGTAGAAGGCAGTTGGTAGAAATGGTGAAAAATCAAATCCCAGCACCAAGCTCATTTTACGCCTAATATTAAGAGATTCTCCCAATTTACTAATAAGGAGACGGAGGCCAAAGTGGTTAAGGAACTTGTCCAGGGTCATACAGCTATAAGTGGTAGAGTAATGACATGGACTCTGGCTGAGCTAACTCCAACATGCTCTCCTGGTGTCCTTATACCAATGACCCAACCAGCTCAGGCTGCCTCCAGAAGAGGACTCATTTGATAAACTGTCAGGCAGCCTGTGCCCCTGCAGAGGCAGTGGGACACTAACCCTTTTGGGCTATTTTATGTAGCTGGCCAGGTGAATCCCCAAATTTCATGGCCAAGCAAGAGACCTGCAAGGGCTAAAAAAAAAGTGCCTCAACTGTTCCAGGAAGTGAGAGGTAGACACCTCAGCTGACATGGCATTGGGGTCCAAATGGGAACTGAGTCTGCTTCAAAGGCTAGAAATCCTCAACCACTTGATAACATCAAAGAGTCAGAAACAGAAACATCAGTGAGGGTCCGTGACTCCTGAAAACTCAGCTCCACTCCTGTCTGCAATAGGGCTCAAAAAGGCACTTCTGTGACCACATAATGTGTTTTGTTGTTGTTGTTGTTTTTGTTTTGTTTTTTGAGACAAACAAGCTGGAGTACAGTGGCACAATCTCAGTTCACTGCAACCTCTGCCTCCTAGGTTTAAGTGATTCTTGTGCCTCAGCCTCCTGAGTAGCTAGGATTACAGGTGCGTGCACCACACCCAGCTAATTTTTGTATTTTTAGTAGAGATGGGGTTTCACCGTGTTGGCCAGGATGGTGTTGATCTCCTGACTTTGTGATCCACCCGCCTTGGCCTCCCAAAGGGCTGGGATTAACAGGCGTGAGCCACCGTGCCCGGCGTTGTTTGTTTTTTTGTGTGTTTTTTTTAAAAGGCATTCCAAGCCATTCACCAACAACTCAGGCTTAGATAATGCACATTCCTACTCTGGGACTTAATTTCCCTTTGTACCATGAAAGAATAGCCAGATGCTAATTTTTTTTATTAATAAATAAGTTGTTTTTTTTGTTTTGTTTTGTTTTGTTTTGAGACAGAGTCTTACTCTGTCACCCACACTGGAGTGCAGTGGTACAATCTCAGCTCACTGCAACCTCTGCCTCCCAGATTCATGTGATTCTTGTGCCTCAGCTTCCCCAGTAGCATGCACCACCATGCCTAATTTTTATTTTATTTTATTTTTGGTAGAGACAGGGTTTCGCCATGTTGGCCAGGCTAGTCTCAAACTCTTGGCATCAAGTGATCCGCCCACCTTAGCCTCCCAAAGTGTTGGGATTATAGGCATGAGCCACTGTGCCCAGCCAATAATTGTCTTATTTTTAAAAATAATACTTCCATGGAACCCTAATATGTACAACTGATCAAGGTAGAATAGTTCTAGCTGAAGAAGGTGGAGGGGCCCTAGAGTCCCTGCTGCAAGGCCTTCCCTCTCTCTACCAGGACAGGCTCAGCCTGAACACACTGGCCCGAATGACTCTGGCAGTCCCTGTTGGCGCTAATCATCTGTGGGGCTCTCCCAGCTACAAACTGTCACACTCACCCTAGTTAATCTGGATTCACTTCCTCTTTCTAGTTTCATTCCTAAGAATACCGTCCCTACCCCCAGTGGTTCCTCCTGCCATGGCAGAATGCTCATCTGCAGTTACTGGACATGTGAGGGGCCCGGGACTTCTCCAGAGAAACAAACATGGAGACACTGATACAAATACAAATATGAACAGGAAATGTCCCTGGGTTCCTGACAATGTGGGGAAGCTAAAAGAGAATATTTTAAACAAGTGTCCTTAGCTTAATCGGTACCTTAGTTTTGCAACCCATGTCTTTTCATATGAAATGGTCAATTGTCCAAGAAAAATAATTTATGATTTGTTAGTACTGAATCTCATTACATTTCACTTGGAGGCCAATAAACAGAGTTTAAGGCCCTGATGTCCCATGGACTTGAAACCTTACAATCAACATTTCCTCTGCCAGTTTTTTAGGCTGTAGGCACCCAGCCATGATGGACGTGCAGCAAAATAAGGACTGAGCATCTGAACAGAATCTAATGTGCCAATCAAGTAAAAAAAGAACTCTATTTCTACATTTACTAATATGCACATTCACTTCTGTGCTGTGTAGGGATGAAACAGAAGAAGCCACAAATGGAAGTCAGCTATGATCATGACTAAAAATACTATTCTTCTCTCATGGCCCAATCAAGGATCTTTCCAATGGCCAGGGGGGCTGAGCGGTAATAAGAGGACTTCAACAGTGTCTTCAGAGGCCCACTTCTCCCTGGTTTCACTTCTACACCCCTAATTAAGACCCTTCTAGCCTCCACCTGATCTCCCGCCTGTCTTACTCCCTTCCTGCACACAGTTACCAATCCCACCACACTTGCCAGTTAAAAAACCCACAATTCAAAAACTAAAAATAAGGTTTTCATATGATCCAGCAATTCCACTGCTAGATATACACCCCAAAGAAAAGAAATCAGTATACTGAAGAGATATCTGCACTCTCATGTTTACTGCAGCACTGTTCACAATAGCCAAGATTTGGAAGCAACCTAAGTGTCCATCAACAGATGACTGGATAAAGAAAATGTAGTCCATATACACAACAGAGTACTATCCAACCATAAAAAAGAATGAGACCCTGTCATCTGCAACAACATGAATGGACTGGAGGTCATTATGTTAAGTGAAATAAGCCAAGCACAGAAAGACAAACTTCACATGTTCTCACTCATTTCTGGGAGCTAAAAATTAAAACAATTGAACTTGTGAGTAGAATGAGAGCTAAAAATTCAATTTAAATTAAAAATCAGAATAGGGGCTAAACATTACAACAATTGAACTTGTGAGTAGAATAGAGTGTAGAATGATGGTTTCCAGAGACTGGGAAGGGTTGGGGATGTTAATGGGTAACCAATGGGCAGGGGACTTATTATATTTTATCTAACTATTAAAATATAGTTAGAATGAAGAAGAATCAAATGCTAGTTATCTGATAACACAATAGGGTGATTACAGTCAACAATAATTTATTGTACATTTAAAAAATAACTAAAAGAGTATAAATGGAATGTCTGTAACACAAAGAAATGATAAATGTTTGAGGTGATGGATACCCGATTTGCCCCATTTGTAATTAGTTATTACACAATGTCTGCCTATCTCAGAATATCTCATGTACCCTATAAATAAAAATATCTACTATATAACCATAAAAATATAAAAAATAAACCTACCATTCTCTTTTACTGCCTGCATAATAGTCTC